AAAGAAAATTCACACTTTTAAGTCATATCCTGCACAGATAATACAGTCAAAGAAAAATGACAATATTAGAGATATTTATCAGTTGGAACAGTATTACATCTGTGAATTCTGTTGCCAGTAAATCTGGTATCTGCAACCTTAGGGAATATAGGATATTTATGATAAAAACTAGTGAAAGTTAAAGGCAGCTGAATTTTAACAAGTGCAAGTAAAGATTATGTTACAACATTTCCTAAGATGAATGAATAACATGGGAACAAAGAAAGCCAATCAAGTAAGATGGTTTGAAAAAAATAGCTTACATAATTAAAAATTAACAGAGAAGTTAATTTTAAATATACTCAATGAGGAGAGAACATACAGCTGTATCAGAAAGCAGCCACTGGAGTGAGAGTGGTAAAATCCATTTAGGGGAAAGGAAAGCATGAAGGACATGTTCAAGACAAGGTGGAGTAGAAGTCACAGCTGAGAAAAAGGAGTAAAGAGACTGAATGGCCATCTGAGTTTTCTTTGGCATCAGAGAAGGTTCTTAAATCTCAGGTTAGGGACAGAAGGAACTCATACCAGTGAAGTCTGAACAAAAACATGAAAACATCAGGTTTAAAGCTGAAAAAGGCTATGAAACAGTAAAGTATGATAATCACTGCAAAGTGGTGTGCTTTCCCTGTGTGGTAGGGTGCTCCAGAACAGGTGAAAATCCAGCAAGAATTACTCAAACTGTGTAAGTGTGTGAAAGTTATAGGAGTCTGTTTGCTTACTTTATTTCATTTTCCCCTTCAGATGTCCTTTCTTTTTTTTTTTTGACTGAGGGAGATTATTCACTATGTGCTCTGATGCCGTTAAGGTACCTTTGCAGAAGGCATTCAGTGTGCATCCTGGGTTATTGAAAATAAATTATCCTGCTTTTAGAGACTCAAAATGAGCTACTAGACACACAATGGGTCTTGTATAGCTCTCTAATGAGAGGCAGGGTTCCTTCTTTCCCTCAATGGCAGAAGCCAAAAGGAAGAAAGTAAACTGTATCCCAGTTGTTACAGGCTTGGTTTAATGTATTTTTTAAATTGTATTTTTTAAATATATTTCAAATGTGTTTTTTAAAGTTTTCTTTGCAGCCATGCTCATTCCTTTAAATGTGCTGAAATAATGTCTATTAATAACAGTATGCATTATTAATAGTTCCTCATCTACACGTTATTTGAACAAATTATTATTATTTCATCTGTCCTTGATGTGCCTAAGAACAACACAATGACCTTCTTTAAAGTAATTCCTATGCAGTATTCTAAATACAGTTTTAAATAGATGTACAGAGAACAGCCATTTCCTCATATCCAGAAACTAATAACACTGCTGCCATCCTCTGCTTTTCATTTATGTACACTCATCTTACACTCCTGCACATCTCTCCCTGCATCTGCCCGGGCATGGTTTTAAGAACAAAAATGGAGAAGTCTGTAATCAGCATGAAACATTATTTAATTGCCTAGAAGCAGGTAACGATGTGTGTATGTGTGGCCAGTTGCAGAAATGATGAAATTGTCGAGGAGGTTGATAACATGTTAGGCAGCTAGAGATAGCTTTCCTGTTCCCTTGATGGTATCCAGATGTATTATTTGCAAAACTCCCATCGTGTTTGCATTTGTGGGGTGTGGGTGTGGGTGTGGGTGTGTGTGTGCACAGCTGCTTAGCAAAGAATGCAGGCTGTTAGGTGTGTAAAAAAAAAAAGAGTAATCTGATCTCCCTTCAGAAGATGTTTCTTCACCCTGCTAAAGAATACAATTCAGCAGTCCTAGCACAGCTGTTTCAAGATATCCTAGAAAGGCACAACAGAATTGTAAGAAAACAGAGCTGGTGTGTGGAGTGCAGAAGGATATAGAATAACATACACAGTACCTGCCTCTGCTGGATTTTCTGGCTCCCTTATTTGCCTGAGAACTGTAATTGTACACACACAGACACACAGACACTCTCGCTCTCCTCCCTCTGTTTATCTCGGAAGCTGAAAGAGAACTACTGATGTGCAATACCTTATCAAAAAAAATGATAAAAATGTCTCACTTTTGGCTGAAATATATCCTGATGGAAACTATCCAGCCTTAGCTCAACCTGATCTCTGAAAAAGATTAGCAATGAGAGATTTCTAGTGTCAGTATGACTTAAAGTGCACACAAAGATGCAATTTTTGTGGCAGAAACGTAAGATTCTTTTTTTTATTATTTTTACTCTGGCTTCAGAAGCAGATAGAAGCAGTGATTGCTGATACATAGTTACTCACCTTTCCAGTAGATGGTAGTACAGATGTGCTTAAAAGACTATTACATTTGGGACTGAAACAAACTGTATGTAGACATTTTCAAATACTGAATTAAGAAGAATTTTTAGCTGTATTAGTTCTTAAAACTAAGTCATGTGAAGTTGCCATTGTGAAAAAATGAACATCAGGACGTTTTTTATTTTAGGCACCGATCTGTAGCAAGCTACTGAAAGCTTTGTTTTGATAGAAAACTTGGTCGAAATGCAAATACACATAACTGAAAGGCAGGGATCTCAATAAATAAATTTCTGTAGTATTATATTGTCTGTAATGCATGATAGTCCCACTGACTGCCAAAGCCTATGGCTGTATTTGTCTGTGTTATAAGTTGCATGTATTCATTTTTTTAACTAGACTTGACTTAGCTATTTGGTAGAGACAGAGATAACAATCCTTTGTGTGAACCAGCTTTACAGATTTTTCCTCACAGATTTGTTATTCCTGTATGTGCTGATTTTATCAGAAATAGCTAAACATACATATGATCAAAAATGCAGCTCATTCATGTTCTAAATGTAGTTAAAAAAATAAGGTGTATAAGTTGGAGATGCTTCTTAGCTTTACAATATAACTTGTAAGTTCTCTAAATTTTGGGGTTTTTTCACACAATGTTATAGTTCTTTAACAAAATGTAACAGAAGAATGACTGAAGGAAAGGAAGAGGATCAGCGTACAATTTATCTGATAACCAAAAGTCAAAATTTATTGAAACCATTTTAATTATGGCATAAATGTAAAAAACCCAGATGTTAAAGTATTGCCAGTTATTTAGTGCATACATTTCTATTTTTTTCCTGATAGTGAATATGAACATATGATCTGCTAATATCTACAGAATATGTCCATAAACTACATCTATACATGTTCCATGGGATGTATTTTTACCATTATGGTTTCTACTAGTTCATTTCAGAGTTTCATACTTGGTACTAGATACAGTAAAACTTGCTTAGAATAAATCTGTATGAATTTTCTGAACACTGATTATCAGCAACAGCTGATATTAATCAATATTGCTGTCAGATTACCTCTGAGGCCCTAAAACACTAACAAAAAACCCTAATTAAGGAGATTATATATATTCATATATATATATAAATATGTAAGCTTGCAAGAGAGATAGGAAGGAGTACAAAAACATTACCTGTTTTATTAGTGTTGTCTGATATGTTGTAATGATTGCCACTGATGGAAAAGCTGGTGGTTCATTTTAAACGACACACTCAAAAAATCAAGGTAGGTAGTAAGGCAGAAAGCGAGTAATTACGTGGCAGACCACGGATCCTGCTCCCATAATCTGTTTCCAGCAAAAATAGTAGAGATATGGCAATAAGAGCCACTACCTCCTGGATGATGTCAAAAGAGAAATTGTCTTGACAAATGAGGGAGATTTTAAATGGGAGTTTTCTCTGACCTGCAGTACAAGGAAAGGTTATGCTAATATGTTAAAGCACAGGCCTTTGCTAATGGCTGAGCTGTAGATGAGGCAGTATAGCTCATGACAAGAGTCAGGTCTTTCTACTTCTTTCTCCCTGAGTGACTGAGAAACACTCATTATCCTGTCCTAGGTTATCCTATTATAAATGCTCTTAGCTTATTATAAATATTCTCTGATATAAACGTTGCAAACAGTGATCTTGGAGAAGAAAGTGTGAAGTTAAGATCTGGCACAAGGAGGACAAACTACTTCTGTTTTAAAATTAAGAACAGCAGTTGTTTGAGCTACATTCTTGTTTCATGAAAGGTCATCTATCAATCTATGCAATCAGGTATAAATATTTCTATTTTTCCCCAAAATACATTTTTCTGATTAAAGCCAAATTTGGCCCTGAATTATTCTATATTCACTTTTTCCTATGAACAGTGAACTGAAAAAATATTAATCTTTTTTAAGCACCTGAAAGCCCATTTCCCTTTTCAACTAATGAACTATGTAAAGGAGCCTCAGTTGCCTTGGGGAAGCTTGTCAAAGCCATCACAAGGAGCCTTTATAAAGCCTAAAGGACACGTATCATAGTGTATAAAATTTGTCATAGAATATCATTATTACCTTTTGGGACGCTTGTTACAACAATTATAGGTGATTAAGCCATATTAAGAAAAATATTAAGAAAGTTTTGTGACCAATAGAACAAAGGTCACTAAGTTTACCGTGTTTTGGGGTGGTTTTTTGGTTGTCTGGTCTAGTGTGATGGAAAATGAAATCTTCATTAAAGACTTTCCTGACCCAAAGGTGCTTATAGGAGACACCTCAGAGAGGATTCTTTGGTGTCCAATACTGCATTCATGCAGAACTGTGTACAGTTTCCCTCTGTAGGCTGTTTGTGGGTACAAAACTCGAATCCGTGTAATTATTTCTGAGACCTCCACCTTCCACAAATCTGGTTGCAATGAACCGTGCAGAAATTATCCAAACTTATTGGGGAATGTGGGAGTGACACAGATGCATTTAGAAAGGTACATAATTGCAGTATGATGATAACTGGGGAATGAGACTGAAAAAGCTACTGACATTGAGCCTTCCTTATTTTCTTACCACCCTGAGTGTCTCCTCTCTCACTTATTTTCATTTCAGACTGAAAAACAGTGTAAGAATGATTATATAGAGAAATACATGCAACTCTCACCTGGCAGAAGGATGTAAAGGGCAGATTGGCCCAAGGGAGAAAGCCATACTCACCACATGACTGCAATGTCAAATACAGGTGTGCCCTTTTCTCTGGTCTCCACAAACCTTGCACAGTAAGTAGCCCCAGAGTCAACAGGAACAGGTAGACTTGCCTTGGGCAGACTCTGGAAAAATGAGATTTGAAATCTTTGTCATGAGGAGGGAACAGCATTCTGGTCCTTAACTGCTCAGCTAATGTGTACAAAGCGTATTAGTTTTGTATCCTGCAGCCAACCTTGCTCAGTGTGCTGGCTGTTTTGAATCTCAAACAGAAATGCTTAACTGTCCCTCTGCACTGTAGGCGTCCTTTTGTGGTTTTTTGTTGTTATTGTTTTTTAATTGTAGCTAAGCCTAAGATAAATTTGATGTCTGTCTACAGTGTGTTTTGGAGCACCAGGCAGCAATCTCTAAACCCATTGTGACCAAAGCAATGGCAATAAAACTCATCAGCACAGCCATAATAAGCTGAGACAAAGTACTGCACTAATAGAACACTGATGCTCTCAAGACAAACCAGTAGCTGTTGCACAGGAATGCTCTGCACTGCACCATGTGGAAGATATTCACACTAGTTTGCATAACCTTGTATTTCTAGGAGGATTTCACAGATTTACATTGCTTGGCACTATCAAGGACAAGTTTGGTAACAAGGGTATCACTCCCACTAGCAGAGGAAGCTCTAAGCACCACCACTACTCATGGAGACCTTTGTGTCAGCTTGCAGATTCTTGTGCAGCTCTTCAGCTAACCATCCAACCTGGGACAGACTGCAATTCGCATTTTAATTACTTGGATTTTTTTCTTTTTAATGAAACAGAATAAATCAAGAGGCTTGCTGAAATTCTGATTACTGTTGGTAACGTGGTAGTGTACATAAATTTGGCTAGATATGCCTTCAGAGTGAAACTTTGAAGAAGGCTAGGTTGTCTAGAACTTATCGGTGTAAATTAGTTCTATCTAATAGACACTGCAATTATCTTCTGATATAATTAGAGGCCCCCTTTTTAACTCTGCCAGTTTTCTTGATCTTAAGGAATAACCACACCAGCTAGCAATCACTTACACAATGGAATAGCAAGTATACAAGCCATTTATCATAAAGAAAATATTTTTAAAGTGTTTATGCAAAACAAATCACTGCTCTGCTCTATCTTTTCTACCTTTTTGTAATGCAAACCACTGCCTAAAGTTATTTTCTTAAATCACATCTTTTATTATCCATGTTTTATGCCAAATTTCCTTTTTTTGTGATAGCTATTTATCATAGCAAAAGCAAAACAGAAACATACTTCAATGTGGGAGTTTTACAGTAGGAGGCTTTGGTGAAGATGGGATTGATACATCAAAGTCTTATCCCATGATAACAGATGTATTTAAATATTTACCTTCATTTTTGTCCCTACAGTTAATACAATATTTCCCTAGCATAAGCTGCTAAATGTATTTTCCCCTTCTTTATTCTTATTAAAATTGTGATTTGAAGATATATTCGTAAAGCTGTGAATAGTTATTACCATCCTTTAAAGGCTTCAATATTTGAATGGCCAAATTCCAGCTTGAGTAATTTGATTCTGCCTACTTAAATTCCTCTCACAGTTTCAATTAGATAAGTTATTCTTCTACTCTTTATGTCCTAAAACGGTTCTGCAGCATTGCTGCCACTATTAAACAGCTGCTGAATTTTGCTCCAGAGGTGACTTAACTGATCTCTGTATACAAAACACAATACATAAAACAAACTTTTGTTTTTTCTGGATGAAAGTTGGTAAATATAAGTTTTATGATGGGTAAGCGTTGGTTTTGAATGCCCGTGTTTATGCTTATTTTAAGGGTAATGATAAAGAAACCTTTCCCACAGTGTCCTATTAAGAGTGTTCTAGAAAGAACAGGAGAATTCATCTTCCATATATATTCACAGTCTTTCCAGGGACTATCACGTGAAATATCACCTTTAAATTGTAGGTGTCTTGCCATATGGGTGTAAGAATGACCCCACCAAAAAGACAAAAGAAGTGTAGGCTAAATTTTGTAGATACTGAGGTGTTTAAAGCCTCAGAAAGGCAGCCAATATCTGTGTCAGGCATATTGTGGAGGACTCTTCCTCTCATGCTTTTGGAAATCCTGCCAGGCCTTTAAAGGAAATGCAAACCCAAATATTTTTAAGACTTTCCCCATATATCACAGCCTCAGCCTGAAACTATCCAGTTGTACATAATTTTACTTTACCAAGCAAATCCCATTCTTTCTACGCTAGTTAAACATGTGAGATTCTCTTCCTTGACAAAATCAGTGAGAAAGGATCAGAAGTAGCAGAGAGCATTACCTGCATCATTTAAGAACAGTTTTAGTGGGGCCCCAGACTGGCAGTGTGCAATGCATTAAAGGGTTTTTTTCCTATATTTCTGCTCTTTACAAGGGACCTGTTCAGATTACAGTGGTTACTGTAACTTCAAGGTAATCTGATGCTGCTGGGAGGTTGCGTGGGAAATCCCTGTGTAACTGCACATCAATAATTAAGCCAAACTTCAGAATAGGCTTTTGGATTTAGGCCTTTGTAAATGAAATCCTCCCTCCTTTCTTCGTAAAAGGTTTCTATAGATAAATCTTCAAATAGGCCTAGGACAGGTAGGCCCCAGGCTTGTAAAAACTATATATAAATTAAATTATTTCTGGGATCAATTAAAATGCATGTTTAAATATAGGACCAGTGAAAATTGAAGAAATGCTTAAACATTTACAAATCTGAATGCTGAACAGGGCCTCTTCTTTTTTCCCTTCCTCATGAATAGATGGGGTAGATGACATATACTTGGTGAGTACCTTAGAACTGGCATTCCTCTGTTTTTCTTTTCTGCTATTCTGCCTTGCAGAAGACAACCTGCACTCTAGGAGAAAGATAAATACTCTTCTGCAGTATTTCATTTTCTTGGGGGCATATAAGACTTTTTTCTTGGTGATCTGATGAGGTTTAGAGCATTACCTAAAAGACTTTCTGCACTTTGAGATATCTGTTCTTCTTTTTTTTTTGCCTATTTCTTCCAAATTCTGCTCTTTTTTTCCCCCCTAAAGTTTAATCTTCATCCGCATATTTTCCATATCTGTGAATCCTCTCTCTATGCAGTCCAATCTTTTTCTATATATTCTGTTTCAGATAGTGAATCTCTTCTCTTCCTTTTCCATCCCCATTTTGTGTCCCTCTTAGTTCTTTCTCAGCCCCAGGCTTTTCCTTGCCTCAGCATTAGGGGGAAAATGCTGCCTACCAATCTCTCTGATTATATTGAGCTGCACTTCAGGATACAGACCTGAGCTTTAGCATTACTTGCTGCCTTTTGCTTGTGCTGAAGAACTGAGACAAATGAGACAATAGTACTCAACTCTGGATGTTGAGAATGGCATTGCAGAAAATGTCAGGGCTACAGAATCTTAGTGCAATGTAAGAACCCAGAGCAAATCAAACCAGGTAAGGACAGGGCAGTTTATGAAGCATCACAACATCCAATTAGTACTGCAAATCCACAACAAAACTAGTAGTTTGCTAGAATTACGTCAACTGTCAAGGATCAATGTTTTAAATAAAACTCTAACCAAAGCACACCAGAATTCTTCTTAAAAATCAAGGTTGCCACAATGCTTCTATAATCTCTGTCTCTACTAATAAAACTACTTGTGGCTTCTTATCACTTGCACTCCCCAGAGGAAGAGCAAAGACAGTGCTAAACGTGCCGTGGTGGTGCTGCTGCAAAGACTGACAGCATCAGTCTTGTGTGCCTCGAGTTCTGTGTTCCAAAAAAAGCCCTGCCACGGATATGGGCTTTACTTAGAACACCATCTCTTTTCAACATTCGTTAGCTTAATTTTTTAGTTTCAAAGAAAACATGCTCCAATTCTACAACTTTCCCTTATTTCCACAGTTCAGCCACTGTTTTTAGACAAAGAACTTTGTCCATAAGGAAGAGAACACACTTAGAAAATGGCAGTGCTAAAGAACTTTCATTGGTCTTGAGAACTGTCTCGTTTTATATCCTATTTCTTAAAACATTACCAAAGTAACACTGTACAGTTAACACAGTTGATAAAAATAATGCTGTCATAAAACATCTAATTTTTTATTGACAGACTTCCTTATAGATCATATCTGCTCAAGATGAATTTGGAATGGAAATTTTCACAAAGCAGGGCATGGAAACTATTAGCCTTTTTTCTTAGTCTCCACATTTTCATTGTACTTGACTTCAGTTAGTTACATATAAACAGTTTCACTGTACTCTCTAATTAGTATAATTAGCGCCATAATTTTGATGCCAAGATTTCAAAGAAAACTAGACTCAAACTGAAAAACCTAGGTTTTTTTCATGTATTAAGATAGACACTCAAATGCATTAGTTATTATTGAACACTGAATAATTATATTTGCATTACATATTCAATTTGATTTTTAAAAATGGGAATACGTCAGCACATTTACCATATTGTACTTAAGAAACCATTATCTACAGTTTGAAATAATAGAGAGGACTCTGGATCTCTGTATATAATTTGCCAATGTATTCTGCATTTTTCTAAAAGCTTACAAAAAGAAAGCTTTCAAAATTAGAGGTTTAAAGGAGAATAGCATTTTACTCATAAATGCAGGAAAAAGAAAGGAAGTTTTAATTTTTAAAGAAAGCATGTCAGAATCTGATATAGTTTATCTATTTACTTATATTTTAATTGTATGTTTCTCCAAATGTGCTGGATATATAAGGATATGTGCATTGTTATATTCATATCTATCTACTATATATCCATTAATAAAAGCAGTACAGTATTGCACACAAACACATTATTGAATGTTAAAAGTAAACACAAGTACTGGTCAGTATTCCTAGTTTTGGCCACGGTATTTAAGGTTACACTGACTCAATGCTTGTCAGTGTATTTTCTACATTTAAAACATAAATTGATTTTTAAGCTCAAATTTTTTTCTATGCAGACAAGTGTTATCACATTGATAATGAGAAATATGGAATTATTGCTCAAAATATACCTAATTTGCAATTTTAAGACTGACCGTGGTTAAAAGGATCCTACATATTTCTTGAAGAGAGTCCTACCAGTGTTATTTAGGGTGAGGTTCAAATTGTAGTCAGTGCTGTTCACTGCTGTGTTCCTGTGGTTTTCTACTGTGGCATATTCTTCCTATCAAGCAATATTTGTTTTTTGACAGATCACTGTAACTGATTAAGAACATAGGATAGATTTAACCTTATTGCTTAGTGATACATAAACTCCTTCCACTGTGTGACATGCAAGAGGGAAGCACGTCCAGTGGAACATAATAATGGACAAAATTAAAGGCTTCCTTTACTTAGACATTTTAATTACCATTTTCTAATTAAGATTTATATGCTGGTGTATATATACATGTACTCACACATATATATGCCACCAGTTCTCCCTCATAAGCAGGTCTTGGATTAAATGAAATACAAGAACCTAAGTCTGAAATACTTCAAAGTTTGAACAGACTTCAGACTTTGATCTTGGTTGTGACTGTTACTGTCAGTGCAGAATAAGTGATGGTGAATTCATCACTTGTTGTTTGCACCTTCACAAGAACCCTTGCTTGCTTATTCTAGTCCCACTCCCCAAATAAAAGGCACCTGCTTATGTGCCATAAAGGTAAATACTGACCTGCATGCTTAGTTACCTATTCCTGAATTCATATTATTAACTAATAATATTAATAAATGGTAATAGTAATAAAGGTTTCTGGCCTACAAAAAGCCGTTATTTAGGTGGCCAGTATGTATCATGATGACAAGTTTAGTTTCACTGTTTTGTCATGATCCTCTACTTTGTAGACACAGTTCTAGAGAATCTCTTCTGAATTTACTCCCTTAGTCTGATGGGGCCCTCAGATCCATATGGGAAGACTTGAAAGTGATATGATAAACAGGAAAATGTCATTACTGCAAGAGTCAAGCCTAAGCTATAAATTGGAGTGCTAAGCTTTGTTGAAGTATGGGCTTTGTGGTTGGCAGTTCCCCAGCACTGGACAGTTATGGCCATGTTTAGCATTTTACTTACATTCATCTTGTAATTAAGTTATATCAATGCCATCTCATGCAAATTGTCTATATAAGAAAGAAGCCATTCAAATGCATTGTATATCCATATATGAATTTCAAAATTGGTTAACATAATCATGTCACATTAAATAGCATAAAGGGACAGAAGGTTCAAGTGGGAGGCTTTGGCAGTTTGAGCAGACATCCTTAAATCAACAGCATAAATTTTAATATAGTAATTGTATTACACCAAATGTATGTGTTAACAGGATGCTGCTTCCAGACTATTTACAGAGAATGCAAGAGAGAAGTAAAATAATATTAATACATTCATATTTTTTTTAACATCTTTGTTTTTTAAATCTTCTGCAAACAATCCAGTCCAAACAAATCTTTGTTTTTATAATCTACTTCATTTCTAAAACCCCTACTGGGTTAGACTTTCCAATTAAAATATGATTCTTTATGCTTGTTTTATAGAAAATATTTACTCAGACATTGTGCAGTGTTTTCTTCAATATATGACTTTAGCATTGCAGGAAATTAAAATTTCTAGAGTCTTGTTTAAGCTCATTTCTATTAACAATTCATAGACAATTATCTGTTACTTTATCATATGATAGAGAGGGGCACCAACACATTTTGTAACATTCTTTGGGGATGCTGGGGATGTAAACAGACTAAAAATTGTTCAGATTTTACCAGGTTCCTTTCTTTTTATAGGACCACTACAAGGTGAAGGGAATTTGGAAATTTCCTAATTTTTACGTAGCAATGCAAGAAATCCCAAGACGACATGTTCACCTAGTCTTGGTGCTGTTACCATTCCACTAGCCAAAAGCAATGGCTACCAGGGCAAATTCTACAGTACACTGGAAGCACACGAGTAAAACAAAACAGTTGGGGCCACGAATTCACTGTTGGTCCCATATGTGCTTTGCAGGGGCTACTTCACACTCACCCTGGGCACTGAGCATCTTTTGATGGTTGAAGTGCAGCAGGCAACCTCTTGGAGTGTGCATCTTCCAGTTTTGTTTTGTCCAAAAGAAGGTCCTTCTCAACCTCTGAGGCTGTTCCACAACTGAACCAACTTATTCTTGGGTAGAAATGGGTCAGGAGATTACTTTTGTGTAGATGCATTCCAAACCCACTGCCCAATGGCTGCATGGCATGCCAGTGTTTTTCATAGTCCACCGGAGTTCTCAACAACTTGGAATAGCATTTGATTTTGATATAGATGAGAATCTGGAAGAATGTAGTAGGGAATACATGAGAATAACTTGTTCCAAGCAGAGTTAGTGAACAACCAGTGAGAACTGCTCAGTGCACACTGATTGTCAAACACCTTCTGATCACACCCCGCTTCCTCTCCCTTTCCCTCCTCTACTCTTTGTTCTCTCTCCCCCAAGTCAGTAAAATCATATATATGAGAGATTATGGTGTCTAAGTAACCATCTCAAAGTTATAAAAACAGAGTTATATAAAAACTGTTTTAATTTTAATAAGCAGGTAAAGAGATTTCTTATTATGCTAAACCCTCAGATTGAGTGCCTACTACTACAGTATAAACAAACACCAGTAGACGTTCAAAATCAGTTGTTTACCTTACTATTAAACTAGATAATATAAAAGAAAGTTAATTGCTATTTCATTCTAGCATCTTTGCAAGTCTCCATTTAAACTATTGTCTCAGGTTACTCAGCTTTATACATAGTTTTCTAAGTACATATATACTGAGTTAGTATAGAGTGAGACTAATTGAGATCACTGTGGAAATTAACATTACATATTGATAAATGCCAAGATGATATTGTGCTTCAATAACCCTCATCAGTGCAGCCATGAAAATTGATGCTATTTCTGGATTGCAGTGTTTTCTCTAACAGTTTAAATGGAAAACATCTGATATAGAATTGTTTGCAGTGGATAAAAGCAGCCCACATGGTAAAGGATCTGACATATTTGTAAACTAGCAATTACAGCATATACCCAGCAATTTGAAATATTTCTGAATTGTTCAGCACATCCCCAAATTGTTCATGTAATGAAAGCACACAAAAATGTTATTATCATTGTTTCTAGTTGTCTTTCATTTCCCATTGGAAACTTTTTTGTCAACTTAATACATTTTTGTTTGTTTCCAACTCTAGCTTTATTTGGTTTCGGTCCTGGAATGAAAATGAGCTAATGACACCTTTTCTCAGTCTGCAGAGGCTTCCTCTGTCTAGCAAAAACAGATTAGTTGCTCAGTGCATGATCTCAGACTGAGATTGGAGGTTGCTGCCTTATTTGTTTATTTATATTTATTTTAGAGGATGCAGATCCACAGTGTATCTGTACAGGACATGCCATCTACACTGTCTGAACACTTTTAATGGGCACTTCACATTTTAAAAATAAACGTAATGGACTCTTCACTGACGGGTTATTTTTATTTTTTTTTCCAAATTAAAAGAAGAAATGTAATAGAAATCCAAAGAAACTCTTGCCAAATGCCCAACATTCCTACCTATAGTGTTTTTAAGAGTTGAGAGCAGAAGCGACTCAGGGATTAGGAGTGATAGTTGTATCATTTTATCTTTGGATTTTCAGTCCGAAGCTAGTCAGATTGTTGACAAATATTAACAGAAGCATGACTTAACAACTTGGAATAGGATACAAAAGGACAGTCACAATCCCCCCCTACCCCATGCCCTAAATGTTATTTTATAGATGGTTTGTGCCATGATGGAAGCAGAGAACAGCTGTAGCCCACTAAAATTGCTCTCAGATGACTTTCCTGCCTAATACTTAAGTAGTGTAGAGTTTTATTCTCTGCAGCACGGCCACCACAGGCAGGGACAAGTGGGGATGGCTGCAGTGTCTCCATCATCAGCTGCTGCCAAAACAGTGCCTTGGGAAGACAGACAGTCTCTCAGAAAATGGAATGGTTCTCAGGATGCACTGATCCACAGGGGACCGGGCTGGCACATAGTCCAAAGAACTGGTGAATAGGGGAGGTTTACCTCAAATGCAAATCATCTAGCACAAAGAATTTTGATGATAGTGCCCAAATGAAAGCTCAGAAAGAATTAAAATATGACAACTGTCATAACAACAGAAAGCATTGTTATAACACGAGATCGTCTCGCTAATTTGTCATGGCTTCCCTGAGGATAAGCAGGCATTTTGGTTCTTCGTTTTTCATTTTGTTCCACTGATATCAACCTGAACATCTAGACAGCAGTGCTCTAAAACACGAACCTTGTAGAAGAATATCAAACTGTTTGCAAACATACTGGAGATAGATTTGCCAGTGCAACATATTGTCTCTGGTACAATCACTCAATTACCAATAAAACCTCTGCAAACAAATGTGTCTTCAGTTTAAACAAGAATATAATAATACATGTACTTTGAAACTGCAGAGTCTACATAAACTGAATAAATCATCGGGCCACAGCAAAGAAAAAGATTATGCTAACTCCAAACTTAATGATAAAAGCAGCTTTTAAAGATAGCCTAATCAAAGGACAGAAGAAAGTGTGGACAAAATCAGATTATTTGGATCACCAATAATTTATTCTGGGCTTGTACACCCTTCATAGCCCAAAGAGACCTCATCCATGACTGAGCCTCCTGAGCATTATTGCAATACAAGCAACTAAAGAAAATACAAAGTTATTAAAAGCCATCTGAACAATTCATATCTATAGTTGATACACAGGGAAAAGCAGGTATATTTAAAGTGAAAAACAATTCATAAGTACAATAGAAAGATATGTGCCTTTCTCACATAAATTCACAGACATACTGCTGGTATTGATAACTGTTTTGAGGAAGGGGAAGAGGTTGTCTTCACTTTCCATTTCTCAGTTGAAGACCACTGTCAAAGGAACTATATTTCAAGTTCAAGGGCTATAAGTCCATGTAATATCAACTTCAAACTCTTTAAAAATATTGCAGAGTTGCTATAAAAAGAAACTGAGTAATAAAAATTAAACTTGGTAAACACTTCTAGCTGTCACTTAGAATTTTTACTATTTAGATTTTAATTTCTCCATTGTATCAGGCCCATTCTATTAGTGCACTTACATGTTAAACAGACAATGGCTATGTAAATTTCCTTATTTTCCTGGAACAAGAATCTCTTGACATTTGCATTTTTCCATTTAATAACCTGAAACTTCAGCAACTGAAAAGTTTACAACATACAAAGGTGAATATTCTGTGCATAATCTATTTTTACAGTAACTAGTTCTTGGCATCTTCATAGTTTTGAAAAACAAAATTATTTGGGTTTGCTTCACAGTTCCAGATGAGAAGAAACTGCTTTCATATATTTCCCAGTTTTGCAGGAATAAGAGTTACTAATATTGAATACAGAAGTTAACCGTGCAAAGTGTATAGAAAAACTGAAAACACATCTAGAAAGAAAACTAACAGTTCAGACTTGTGGCTGGGCTTACTTATTGTGCTTAACATTTTCTTTTTTCTATAACTCTCTTCTCCCTCAGTTTTCTTCTGGATCTCAGTATTTTGTTGGTATTACCACTAAGAGTTCCTTCTTTCTTCTTCTTTTTGTCCAAGATTCTTTTGCTCAGTAAAAACTATTTGTGGTACTCTATCAGTCTTGAAACAGTTTGAGTCTTTTCTATTTACTTCTTTTTAACTATTTGTCCTTTTATTTCATGTCTTAACAGTTAAAATAAATTGAAAGTGAAAAAAAATTCATAATTCTCCAGTTGAAGTTAAAGGGAAAAGAGGGAGAGTATTGCAGATGTCAATTGTGAAAATTACCTTGTCTCTGTGATCAGACAGACCTTGGATTTATTGAACTACAGGGCACGCTACAAGGTCTATTTAGTTTCTCACATTTGTTTCACAGCACTGAACAGAGGGAACTGAATGATTTGAGCATGGTTATTGATTAATATTGTTTATTGCATATATTGTTCCAGGCACTTCAGGAAAAATATAGGTATGTTTAAAAGAAAATAAGTACATAAATAAGATGCCACACTGGACTCCCCCTCTCTTTCTCTCCCACAGCATCTGTATGCATTAGCCCAGCTCTGAAAAGCCTCCTGGACAATTCATAATGATAGCAGGCACTTAGGAAAAAGTATAGGTATATTTAAAACTAAAACATATACATAAATAAGATAGTGATGCAGGCTACATTCATATGTCAGCAGAGATATGAAAGCTGTCTGAAGAATTCTGTCAGCAGCAAATGTGCCACAGGGTAACTGCAGGAACACACGAATGAGATGGACCAAAATAATTCCTTCCCTGAGAAGTACCCTGCAAGAGCATGACTTAGTGATACAAAGGACATGCACAGGACAACAGGGAATGTGAAAGCTCTGCCTGGAGGAGCATTTTCTGCTATATTAATACGATCTTGGTGTTTTTTTTTTTTTTAAGTCATATGTGAAATGTTAAGGAAATCTCAAAAATTCAGTATTTCAGACTCACCCTTAAGAGTTCTGTACTTGAAAGTACAGAATTCTGTCATGTTTTCATGTTTTTTTCAGTTTAATTCATGGTAAAAGAAAAATTTTCTCCTTAAACATTATTTTCTGAAGTGACCTAGGTCATTAATGTATTCTAGGCCTGAGTTTACCTGTTATTACTTACTAAAAACATTTTCGAAGTGGTTTTGGCTAAATCACAGAGAGGCTGTAAGCATCTACCAAGGCTCTCCAAATAGAGGGTGAGTCTGCAACAGCTACTGTTTCTCAATTCACCCTCTTCCCAGTTTCTCACTAGCGCCTTCATGTAGACAAACTCTTCCTAGTGACTGAAACAGATTTTCTGCATCAAAAATGTCTCTTATTTGTGTTGTAATGAAGAGACTTCATCCTTCAGTGTCAAACTGTGTCACTACAAGACAAACAGAAAACACTTTAATCTCAAACTATGTCTACACAATGTACTGAAGGTGTGATGACAGTACAGACACCCATTCTAGTTTGAATTTAGTTAGCATGGGTAACGTTAGGAGCCTGCATTTCTAAGCATAAACTTGTAGAAACTAAGTGAATCATACTGTTTGGCTGCTAAGAAACAAAAAGGAGCAAATCTTTGGGACTAACAGATTTGGGGCTCACATATTCTCATTTTATAGTCTGCAGATCAAAGGGCTGATAAGTAATGTCAGTACAGGACAACAGATTTACGTTTCACATTATATACATTTTTATTGATAATATATTGAGTTTTAGTATTAACATCTTTCAGGCAGAAGGCTTGCACTAGCAAATTCTGTTATGCTGGCAAAGTCATATGTTTCCATAAACTATGGAGATTCCCTTGTTTCTCGTTTACTCACCCTATTTCTGGCACTAGTACACAGACGGCAGGATTTTCAGCCAATTGATCTACTTATTTTCCTTCTTATCTCTTCCTTGACCTTACAATGAATAACCCAGTCTTTTCCCAGTTTATATCTTCATCCAGACTTTGTATCTGCTTATAATTACTTGGTACTTTTTGTTTCTAACAGGGAGCAGTTACGAGCATTGAGGCCATGTTGCTGAGAACACAGGACCCTCTGAAACAACATCTCAGCCTTGGCCATATTGATCACCATAACTGGTCTACTCTGGCCTCCAGTCAGGAGGTCTGGAGACACACCATCTATAACGCTGCTGACGCCTTTGAGAACACACGCAGGATCACCCTCGAGGAGAAAAGACAACGCAGAAAGAATCGTGCCTTGCCGATACCATCCAAGGAGTCTTTCTGCTGTGCCTTTTGCAACCGATCTTGTCTATCTCATATTGGCCTCTTTAGCCACCAGAGCACTTGTAGCAAATGTAGGTAGAGCCCTTCCCAAATCTTCATTCACAAAGCCTAGCCATGATGATGACTTTTTGTTTCTAAGTCTGAGAAGGCTTGATGCTAAAAAAGCTTTCTGATTTATTCCAGCATGCCTTTTTTTTGGTCAAAAACCCCTGTCTTTGAATTAGAATATACAAAATATTCCTTTCAACAAGTAGCAAACATTCAGTGACAGATTTTGAAAAAAAAAGAATGTGTTAGAACTCTTGAGATGTTACTTCATGTCAGAGTTTCAGAAGTCTGTAACAGCTGTACGTTTGTATAAGGCCCCTTCTTCTGTGACATAATAAAATACTAAAAAAAGAAGTCTAAATATTATAAATACAGCTTGAAGAAAATGTTGAAATTCTTAAACAAAATCTGAACATTTGTAAAAAATTTTCAAGTAAGATGCTACACTGATTTGAAGGAAGCTGTTTCCTGATTGTAGAGAGGGTGAGATTTATGAATCAGAATAGAAACATCTTGAAATACCATCATTTCTGGTAAAATGGAAAATCAAATTTTTAAGCACAGCTATTAATCCTTGTGCTAAGTGTGGCCTGTATGACATGAAAAAGAGTCAGGTTCAGCTGCCACAGGAGCTGGAAGCTCCACTTGTTTGATAATGAAGAAACAAGGAGATGTTCTCTTTTGTTACAGTTCTAATTCACTGACTGTTCAATCTAACAGAATACTAATTACCTTAAGTGGATTTCACAGTTGACAGAGACCTTTGTAGGGAAGACAAGCTTGACAAAGGCAATTGAAACTTAGCTAATGAAGAATACTAGATCCACCTTTGAGGAATGTTAAGTGCGTGCTTTGCTTTTTATGAAAGGTACCTCTTTTATATGTAAAGTAACCATAGAAATGTCAACATTTCATTTTTAGACACCGTGCTAAGTTCTGCAGAGGGTTATCAAATTACCTTTAGGTTTTCCTTTCCCGTAATTATATTTATTCATAGAGCATTTCCTTGCAGTGGAGCTCTGTGAACCAATCCTGAAAAAGGCACTCTTAATGTTTGCTTAACACAGCTTAATCAAACCAGTCTTCATATTGACAATCACAGGATGGCAGAAATTTTTCTTTGCAAATGAGGGCTATGCAGGTGTGTGTCTAATTATTAAGTTGCTTGAAACACACCAAAGTGCAGGTGAGAGGTAGTACTGTAAAAATGTTCTTTTGGGATCACACTACCTCAGGTAGCTCCAAATATGCAAATAACTAGTGCCTTTGGTGCTACTCAAGGGCTAATCCAGCTCAGCATTAGTATGAATTTGGAATGCTTTAAAAGCTACCGAGGAAGATGGGCAAAGCCTTCTTGTGTGGTTGGCTGCGGTTCTGTTTGTTTAGTCAGGATCAAAACCACACAATGCAAAGGCTTTAAGGTTAATCCTCTCCTTTTCATAATCAAAGTTGCTTCCTCAGTTCAGAAGATCTGATGATACTCCAGCATTCTTACATACTACAGGGTACACTGATATGATCCTGTATTTTATGGAAGTATTTTATGGCTCACCTGGATTTTTCAGAGAATTAAGTGTTTGGGTTTCAGCACTAGTAAGATGTTTTTTATGCAAATAAATTAGAGTTGTTCAGGTAGTACAGAGTTTCAAAGGCTTTTTAAAGCCAGAAAACAGTTTATTTTCTAGTTATTCCAGATTTTACTGAAGAAACCAGACAGAGAAAAATTCCTTTGAAAATGATCTAGCTTAAAGTCTTTGCTCTCTCTTTTCTGAACCATGTCCTACATGATAGTTTCAATTATTTATTACAAGGCAATGGTAAAAAAGTGTTAATTAGCAAAGATGAAAAAGACCGACTCAATGGGAGCTCCTGTAAAGGAACTCTTATTTCTAATGCCTGAGGTGACCACTAATTTACAGCTTTTGATAGCTTGCATGCATGGTTCACAGAATAAATCAGTCTTGGGGAAAAAATACTGTACACCTCATTCACTGTGGTTAATGAAGAAGATCTAGCTTTTGCTGTTGTTTTGTTTTTATTTTTTTAGTTCAGGCAATTTAGTTTTGGTTTAATTTGAGAATGTCAGAAATTAAAATATGCAGAGAGAGAAAATATGACACTGGCACTGCAAGACTTTCTTCATTCAGCTGAAATGTCCATACCCAGCCCAAGTGGCCAGATCTAAATATAATCGTGCTTTTTTTTTTCCTTTCTGTGGCAATGTCGGCTAGTCTTTGGCATCTTCTGAAAATCTCTTCTAAAAATCTTAAAAATACTAATATCCCAAGATCTTTACGCTTTTTATGTCTTAGTGAAAATAAGAGGAAAAATAACATACAAGACTAGATTATTATGCTCAAAATGGGAATCATACAGAAGACTGAAACTAAACTCATAAACCCTAATCATAACACATCAGAATTACCTTCATATTATGTGTTATGTTTTAATATTTACTCATAGCTAAACCTACACAACAGTGTGAAACACATTCCTTAGTAAAATTAGGTATTTTAATTAATTAGAATACCCAATGAAGGCAAATAAAGCAGTGATCAGAGGTCTAGTTCAACCTTTTTCTCACCTGTAATCTCCAACAAAGATATCAGTTTGTTTCTTCAAAGCTACTACACAGGATTTCATATTTATCACTGCTTGTTGTAACTAGATTTTACGTAGATGTAACTGACATGTGACTTGCATGTGAAGGATTCTGTCTCTCCCTTCCTGCCCTTCCTTTTTGCCCAACTGTCCTAGTAATTGCAAAAAAAAAAAAAAAAAAACCACACAAAGAAAACAAAACAAAGAAAAAAAACCCTCAATTAATCTTCTAATTTTGTTCATCCATTTTGGCATTTAACATCACTTGATCAAGAGAACAATGTAAAATTTTTAGAGTGACCACTATGGGAGACCAGGGGTTCCAAGGACCCAAGACGTGCTGCACCTCACTCAAAGTGAACTCTTAGAGGAAAGCAGGAGTCTTGAATGCTGAGTATTTTTTTCTTTATTTCAGGTCATTGGCTTGGTGTTCAGATGGTAGAAATTACTGGAATATTTTTTCCCAATGATATCTGAAAATAAAAATGTTTTGACCAAGTAAGTGCCTGTTCCATCAGTGCTAACCCAGAATCCAGACTGTCCCATTTACTCTTTCCCACTTCTGCTGCTTTTGCTTACCCTATTCTTCATGTTGTTTCCCAACATCATAGCCATGCAGGACCAATTCCTCAAACTTCCAAGCAGATGAATTCACATGAAAAACTCACTCTTTTCTTAATTCTTTATGTTTAGATCTTTCAAGCCTTTCAGATCTTCCTCAATTAACACCTCTCCACTTAGCCTATTTTCCTTGTTTATTTGTTCATTTTGTTGTTGTTTTCTTTATTAATGAAATATTAATTGACAGTCTGTGATGTTTCTCATGCTTCAAGATTTTTTTCATCTCCTGACAAGCCTTGCTGAACATAAAATGAGAACAATGAACAAAGTCATTGTGAGAGTTAAACTAAAAAGAACTATAAAATGGTAAAGTCCAGAATCAACAGCAACAGATAAAAGATTAACATGATGCTGCTGTTGTGAGGAGTTCATTATCACCATGTTCCTAGTCAGAAAAAAGGTGTGAAAGGAGAGGAAGTTTTAACAAATTTAGAGTGTGATATGAAAATAAATGAGATAATCACAGTCTATCTTAAATTGCTATGGGCTTCAGGACATTTAAAATCCAGGAACAACTAAACATCAAAAACTTCAAAACTAACTGAAACAATTCTACTGTATAGATAGAAAGGTAAATTTACTAGTCTGACTATCTGAGGTGCATCTCCTCACCTGGAGAGTTTTTGAAGCTCAGGTCTTTGAAAAGATGTGGTATTACTTGATATCACTGTTTAAATGAAAGAACGTCATCAATAATCAATTAACTGTCATCCTTTTCTTCAGAAATGCATAGATTTTTAGCATTCCACAAAATATTTTGGATATTTAGCGTCACTGACAGTAGAAAGAGTTTTACAAAGGGTGATTATCCTCATTATCTTATAGAGACTTCCAGACTTAATGTGCATCCTTTATTACCTGTGCATTGATCAGAGGGCCTAGAAGATCCGGTAAGAGTAGATGTCCAGTTCTTATTTAGCTGAGGTTAAATTCACATCTCCTTAAATTCACATCTTCTGTTTAAAACCAAAAAAAGATATGTTTTTTTTTGCATGTTTGCATACCTTCCATGCAAAGTCTTTATTTTACCAAACAGGGAAAGAACCAGCAGGTGATTTTCAAAGGCTGTGCTCTAATATTTCTATCAGCCAGGGCCAGTGCCAACATCAAGCAGTAAAAAGTAACTTGAAAGTACAAACAGAGAGCAAAGGGTATCATCTGCTGGTGTTGAGAAGGGAGCATTTTTTTATACTGATTCTTTTCTCTTTGACTTTCTGATGGTATATATAACATGGTCATTCAGTTTTAGATATTGGTTCTGGGAGTAGGTTTAACCAATCAGGAAATTAGAGTTCCTATCATGCAGCTTCTCTAGTGAATCACAGAAGGGAGTGAAACAAAGCAAAAGGGGATTTATTAAAGATAAAATTTAATTAAAAGCACAGAATATGAAATATAATAAATATTAAAATAAAGAAATGCCTTCTGGGGCAGGTAGTGACATGAACATGGGATTAGTATTAATAAGGTGAGTAACCCTTCAGTAATATGAGTATTGGGGTCAGAGTCTAGCCTAATCATTTAAATATTTTCCTGGGTTCAGATTATTCTTTTCTTAGATATGAAACAGTCAGCTTTTTTTCTCTTCTAGCTGCACATCATTTTGAAAATTGTTTGGTTAACAAAAAAGAAACAAGAATTGAAAGCTACAAGTTTGTGTTTCATAAAGATGGGGAGAAAAGCTTCTTTGGTTTTAATTAAGTTCTTCAAGTTTTAGTTGAAATACCAGAAATACCATTGGTGTACCAGAAGACACAAAAAATTAGTTAACTCAGATTCATATACAAAATTGGATGGCAAGTAAAACTAAAATGCAAGCCATATTATGCAGATTTTTTTGTGACTGGCAGTTAAAGATTTACATAAAATTAAAATAACCTTTGAAATTAGGACAACCGGGTCACTCTGCTGTGATCTGAATTACTGACCTAATGATACTCTTATCCTTCCATGTCTTCCCAGCACTGCCACTGAAAATCTAAACCTGTGCAAGAAAACTTAAGTTGGAAGAGCTACCCTGAGAAAACCACTCCATACTTCTCCATTGGTGGTACATCTAAAGACAAAATACAGTTCTTAAGTAGATACTCAAAGCCAGAAATGTCTAGAGCCAAAAATAAACAAAACAGCCATTATTTCATATGACTCTTCTTTCTGCATTTCAGAAAAGTGGGGGGTGGGGGGAGGTTTATGCAGACAGGGATTTGATTTTGGTGCATATTCTTAACATACTATAAAGAACAAGACTGCTAAGTCATCAGTTAAACAGCTGTAATGAAATTAACAAATAACACTTAATTGATTTTCTGAAAAGTATAGTCAGGATCCAGACTCATAAAAGGTACTTTTATGCTGTACTACTGGTGAAAACAAACCCAAAACTGGATTAAATGGCCAGCTGGGGATACTGGCCCCATAATTGAAGACCTGAGTGGTAAACAATATTTTAATTATCTCAGTGAAAAGAGTGTCCGGGGGGAGAGGGGAGGAGTGACCAGAGTACATGGCATTCTGGTGGTCTTCTAAAGATCCAGTCGTTGCTTGAGACTATAAATTAAAGCAATCCTAAAGAATATATAACCTTTAGGACTTTATATTCTCATGTTTTCCATTTCAGACCTTCACATGGGTGGCAGAATCCAGACTGCTAATTGTAAATAACCAGGTATGCAGACTTCCTTACTTTCAGGACGGGGATTTTAACTCTGTGTTGTGAGTGTATCTCTTTGTGAATCCCATGTGTGGGAGGCTGTTATCACAGCCTTTTAATGATAAAAAATAGTGACACATTTTTTGTAAAATTTCTATATGGTTGTTGAATGTGGTTTGTTTAAATTTATCATTAAGGAAATTACATATAGTTATCTAGTAGCTTCTCTTGCTATTAGAAAATGCTCACAACCATATATACACAGATCTGCTTGCAACATGTATGCATCTATAGGTGTATATTTCTTAAGTAGCTTGAGTCAAACACCTTAAGCACAGGGCAGTGTTTGTAGTGGAGTGATGGCTATAGGACACATGCTTCTTAATGTTTTGTGCAATGATTTGGAAGTAAGCACAAAATCACCGCTGATAAAATTTATGGCTGATGCAAAGATTTGTTGAGTGGTAAATAATTATAATCAGGCCTGGCATTCATCTAGAATGACCTGAATTACAATAGTTATATTTATTTGACTTGTGCTGGGTTTGTCTGTGCTCTGAGGCAGCCAGAAGCCTGCCAGCTCCAATTCCAAAGGCACACAGATGCAGGCAGCCTAAGCAGTGTGCTCGAACTCTCAGCAGTGTTCATTAGCTCACTGAGCTACTTGCCACTGCACAGCTCCTGTTTTGCTGCTGTCTGCGTTTGGAGAATTAAGAGAAAGCATTTGTGTCTTCCTTAAAATCCCTTCACCCTTGATACTCTGGGCTTATTACAGCAAAATCAGTTTTAAAAGAAGAAAATGCAATTCTTTTCCTCTAATGAAAAGGAATTGGAGTCTTTACCTATAGCACAGGGGACTAAGCTAAGGTTTCCAAGGACGGACATCTGTTTGTGGGGATTAGATTGGGTAAACAAACTTAGGTATGGAAAACATTTAATTAAAATAAAGCTATCTTACAGTCTTCTAAACTCAGAAATAATGGACAGGAGCAGTTGATGGTATTAATCCTTTTAGGTGGCACTGAAGATACCGATGCTCAAATGTTTTATCCTGGTCTCATGTCCTCATTAAAACAGAAAAACTGAATAATTATGAAAATGAGAAGTCACAAATACTAGAAAAAATTTTTATAGGAAAAAAATTATCTCAATCTCTTTTGTATTTTCAGAAAAAGCATGGGGCAAAACCTGATTACAGAATTATATGTGAAAGACAAGAAAACAGTGAATTCTGAAATTTTCTTTCTTATTTCTTGGAGAAAGATCTATCAAGTACCACCCAAACAAAAGTATGATTGCCTCATACAGGGCAACTAGCTGAGGTGATTTTAACCTAATGACTTCAGACTGGGTTGTTGGAGGCTGTAAGGATATACCTGTGAATGTATACAGTTGTAAGAAGTGAAGATTAACTATGAGACAAATGAATATAGAGGCCTCTGTTTCTTTGGGTAGAAGACCTGGGACTAGATGAAATGGGATACCTTTGGTATTGAAGAGTTCAAACTAAATTATCTAATGCTCCCTCCTTCCTTTAATGTTCATGAATCTATATATATTCTTATGCTTCAAGAGCATATTAATGCATCATTTACAACTAGAAGCATTTTTATGTTTTAGTAACACATTTGTCCTGAATATGTTGCATGACCATATGCATTTGTATGATATATTAGAAGTACTGCAGCAATATCATGTCTCCCAGATGTAATATTGCAACATGCATTTGCATAAGCACTTTAGCTATGGAACTCAGTACATCTCCTTCTCTTATCAGTGCAGATTTGCAGAATTCACTTATATACAGGTCTGTAGAGAATAAAAGAGTACTTCGGGTTCCATAAAAGTTACGCTTAATGACTATTTTTGATTGCTGTGGTTTTCACCTTAAATTGTAGGTTTAAGTGCTCAATGTATTTCTTTCAAACCTATCACTAGAGAATTTTATCTAAAGTTATGCGATATGCAAGTAATCAAATTGGCAGGATTTTACTTTTCATTTTTTTCATCCTGAATATAACTAGTTTATTATTAGCCTGTTAACACTGCTATTTTTTCTTTTTTCATTATTTTTCTTAATATTTTTCATTAACCGTTTGTTAATTGTTTTTTGTCTGGATTACTGGTAAATATTCCTGTAGTCCCATATAAAAGAGAAAAATTAAAACTAAAAAGAACAGACTTTCTCATAGGTCTGTGTAGAAATAGAAATATATTGATAAATACATGTAATGGACTAAATAGAAAATTAAATTTTTAATTAAAAAAATTTGTCTTTGCTTTGCTTAGCCTAAAGGAAAATGTCAAAAGGTCTGATACATAGAAAAAACTGCCACTCACCCACTGAAAATCATCTCTCTTGAAGTTGCTGCAATTCAGGCACTCTTAAACTCCGGTATCTAAAGAAAAAAGCTTCATCTTAAAATATTTTCTATTACATAAAAGTTCTTCTTATTAGGGTCTGATATGGACACACAATGTGATAAATATTAATAATCCCCTAGGAGAATAAATATCTAAAAAGCTAATAAATGCAAAGTTTCTGAGTGACTCAGCTGTGATGTTTTTCCCCAGGTTTCCATTCTAGATCCTTGTTCCTCATTCCTTCTACCTCACTAGCACATTTTAACATTGACTTTTCCACAGTGATATTTGAATGGAGTTTTTGCCTAAGAACCATAAGTTCAGACACTATATACTCATTTTTAGCACAATCTGTGACCACAAAAGATGTACAAAAAACTGTTTTCATTTCGATTTTGACTGTGAAGTACAATTACCAAAGAGCAGTCACCTTGGAAGGTTCATGTCTTCCATTTTCCCTATTTTCTGAATGCTTCTTACGATACCTTTCTCATAAAATATTCTATGAAGACGTTAAATGAAAGGTAAAAGATGGAATTATTTAAATCAGGAGAAAGACTGAAAAGCTGCAGGGTAAAGCTGCCTCTCAAAGGGAGCTTGGCAAGCTGGAAAAACCTCATGAAGCTCAATAAAGGAAAACGCAGCGTCTTGCACTTGGGACACAGTTTTCCTACGCAGTCTGGTGGCTGATTAGGTAGAAAACCATTGGGTTTTCTAGAGAGGCTGGAATTCAACTCCAGAGTGGAATCAGGGTTGAAGCTGCTTTGAGTCAAGTGCCAGATTAGACATCTCCAAAAGTTCCTCCTAAAAAAAAAAAAAAACACTCAGTAAAACTCTATGTGTCTATCTCAGCACAGTTTCTTTCAGTGTTGTACCTGAAAAAGCTACAGTGGCGCTCAGAATTTGAAAGTGCGCAATGAAGTCACACTTTCTCCCTCTTATATTTCTCTCAAAAAATATATGGTAATTTAGGGTGCAAAAGGAAGTTGTTGTCTCCTCATTTTATTGGCTTCTCGTCTCTTAAAAATACAGCTGAAAAGAATGTCTTTCTTCTGTGATTAGATCTAAAATGCCACGAGACTACACAGCAGGTTGCTCTCTCTCAACCATAAATTTTATCGCTACTACTTCCTGAGTTCTCTACTAAAAATGGACAGCTTGTGAAATACTTCAACCTGTCTGGCTTCTGACAGGTCTTCCTACAAAACTCTGAGTTATCCAAGAACACTCTGTAGCTGTCATGACTATCACTCCACAAACCTGATTTCTAAAGAAAAATCCAGTGGGAATCACAGAATAGCAGCAACATTAGTCAAAAAGTCCATCTTTTTGTGGAAGAGCACACAAGTAGAATTTACTTTTGTGTCAGGATTCTGAATTTGGAAAGAATGCTGTTCCCAATTTTATATGAATGACCAGACCACTGCAACCACTAGAATACATACATAGATACATCCATACATTTTTTGGGGGAAAACACTGGTAAAGATCAGACACTGTTTAAAAAACTAAAACACAGCAGAACATTACTTCTAAGTTAGTTACTTAATTGGTACTGATAATGGCATCAATTGAGCATATGGGATTTTTAATCTACTAGTAATAGTAATAATATTGATGATGATGATCAATACTGTTCTATCTAACATCGCACTAGATATGCTCTATGACTTGGACATCTTCACTATGGAAAATCCAGGTTACACAAGGAAATATTGAATTTGTGTCAAGAAAACTGCTTACATAGTAATACACTTATTGACTTAATCAAAAAATGCAAAATTACTGTACTTTTTATAATGCTTGGAAGATCATTAGACTTAATATCTCTCTTCTGATGTATTAACCCTTCTACAACCATGGCAATAAATAAATGTTGGGGTTGGTTTTCTTTGGGTTTTTGTCTTTTAGTAAATATAAGGTTAAACAACAAAACTTTGGGGTTAGAAAAGCAGTTATGTTGGGATTGTTGGATATGATTTTCAGACTATGAAGTTTTAAATGTGTTCTAATATTTCTAAATTGCTGGAACCAGAGAAATTTAATGTACTTTTCTTCATGGCTTCCCTGCAGTTTTCTCCATCTGGTTTTCTCTAAGTGCTCCAACTTCCATTAGGCTAAAGATTTTAAAATGCAGACTGCTTTTCTGTAGTTTCTGATGTGAAGTTTCTCCAGAGTCACATTAACAAAGACATGTGTAATGTGCTTTCAAAATACATAAACCTGGCATTCCTTGAGAGGCTTTTCTTGCCAGTACATTAATTAGGAAAATGTTCCTTATTACTATCTATTTAAATTACTAGTGTTTAATTAGGTACTATTGATGAATTAAGGGTTGATTTTTCATATCAGTGTATATTGGTCCAGGCTCTCACCCATTGTAGCCAAGTTTTCTCAGAATAAAAGCAGAGTGAGAAGGTGACCTTGGATCGTGGTGATGCTGGATGCCAGCTGATCCAACAGTTGAAGACCAGAGGAATACAAAAGTTATTCCTATTAATTTTAGTTGCCAAAAGTAGATTGAGACTGTCCAGGTAGACCTATCAGCTTGATGGAGAAAGGATTTTCCTTTTCAAGAGTTATTATGAAAGTTCTATGCCCTCAAACTTCCTCCAGAAAGACTTTTGCTGCAGAGCTATTGTGCTGGAAATGCCTTTGTTGAGAGGGGAATTAAGCAAGTGCTGGTGTAATCCACTACTGTATCCACTGACTTCTTCACTAAAAGTGTGTTCCTTGCTTTGAAAAGTTACCTCTAAGCCTACTGAACTAACCACCCTTCTAACAAATGTTTGAACATGTACTTTTTGTTTATTTGGAATGAAAACTGGATGATCTATAGGCAAGATAATCCATATCTCTAAGGTGAATTAACAAAAACTGTACCACTAGTATTTCTGAAAATGATTTAAAAAGATGCAGTAAAGAAATAGAAATATCAGAAAGTTCAGCAGTCTTCTGGTTCTTGTGTTCAAACCACAGTTTATGGGGGAAACTGGCTACAGTAAAGTAAGATAAAAATCTAGAGAACAAAGATAAAAGGTTTCAGCTTGTAAACCATGCTAAAGAACATACACTCAGATCACATTATTCTCTCGAGCTTCCAAATTCCCAGGGCTAGATTCTACTGCCTGTAACTTAAGCAATCACTGAAGGAATTCCTGCAATGCAACAGAACATAGGCCTAAACTCTCAATTCATAGTCATCCATTAAACATTTCTACCTTCATCAAATTTGTGCTTTAGACATGATTAAGAAATAAAGCTACAAAACCAACAGAAAATAGCCTGATATTGTAAAATTCATTGACAACAGGAAACCAAATACTACAAAAAAACAGTCAAAGAGAGTCAGATGTTTGAGTTTGCGCTTCGGACCTCTACAAATTTAGAAACTAAAGATGCTTCAGTTAAAAAAATAAAATAAAAAATAAAATAATAATAATAACAAAGTTAGTTTGTGCATACTTACACAATGTGATTGATTTGCATGCAATGAATGCATCATGGAGTGATTTTTTGCCCTAGCATCATCAGAAAAAAACCCAAGAGCCTTTCATTTCCTGGTAAGAAGACAAAATTAGTTCCAACCAATAGTGACCTTTCACTAGTTTAACTTCCCCAGAACCCTTTGATATAATTATTTAATGAGGTGATAAATAATGATAGTATCAAATACAATGATATCTGTAGCGCATCATCTTCTATACCAACAAAACAATAATCATTATAAAGGACTTGACTGCAGTGCTCTGTATTCCCATGGTGGAATGTAATGACTGAATAAATTGAATATTGGGTCTAAATTGCAGCTTCTTCAGAAAAAAAAGGGATGAGCATCTTGGAGAACTGAAAGAGCTGCATAATCAGTGGCTCCTTTCATAAGTTGCACATGATGAATGAAAAATAATAAAACAATAGGTGTGTCTGATATTAGAATTCAGGATCCATCACTTCACAGGTTCACAGTCATTATTTGATCTCCATAATTATACTTAAAATTTGAATTAAACTGAGAATAATTAAATAAAAAAATGAGCTGAACCTCATTTCAAAAGAAGACTTGACTACGGTTTGAAAATATTCTTGCACGTATACCTTAAATTTGTATGACAATGGAAATATGATTAAATAAAACAATAGGAATTAATATTCAGATCCATTATTTTTAGATGTTATATCAGAGAATACAAAAATAGTTAAAAAGTAGCAAGTGATCACCCTGACCAAAAAAAAGAAAAAAGGAAGAAAAATACTTTTTTTTATTTTTTAAGGACTCAGTTTCCCTGTCCAGTTCACTTCTGAGCAGTGGGAACAGTGGTACCGCCACAGCAGCAGGAAGGCCAGGGAGAACCGGCTGGAGATAAGGACATTTAAGCCAGTATTGCCTTCAAAGAAATTCATGTGGCACCCTTCTCCAGGGGAGAATTCAGTCCCTGGGAAGAGTCCGTGCTCCTCATCTAAATGAGGCAGCTGCTAAAATCCTGCCGTGCGTGGGCTGCACCGTGACCCCAACGCCTGGGAAAGCACTCTGGCTGTGACCACTCTCACCCCTAATCTGATCCCTGAAAACCAAGCCTTAGAAGATGTATAAAGTACTTACTCACTTCTGAACATGCTTTAAAGCTATCCCTTGGAGCAGATGGAGTTTATTTTGTAATCTTTTTACAGCAGCTGAGTGACAGAAAATATGCTGCAATGCAGTCCAGAGTCAGTGTTTCCCTTCAAATAATTTGAAATATTATAAAAATTACTTTATCTAATCGAGGCACCCTTTCCTGTCCAAAGGGAAAGGTTAATTTATTGTCAATGACATCTGATCATATATTTGGTAACTTATTTTTCATTAATGGGTGAATTTGTTAGTCCCTGAATCTCAGTGATAGCCTGAAGAACTCAGCACTAGAAAACCTTTGATTATCCTTTTACAGATTTATAAATGTTTTAGTGATCTAATCAAAGTAAAGCAACAATGTAATATGATTTAGTTAAGTATTATAAAAAGAGTTAGTGAACATTTAGTCTATCTTTGCACAACCTATTTTTGAGCAATTTTGAATAAGAATTAATTTCATAGTATCAGTCTGTTTGGAAATAATTTATGAACAGAATTAGGACAGATATACTTGAATATGTTAATTTTTCTAAAAGTTGTTTCTCCAGCTCCAATAAATGTTAAATCTGAAAATTTTTAGAATATATATCCCCATTTCAGCTTGAATTTCTCACAGAGAAAAATATGACACAATCTAGAAGCCCATTTTTTATTTTGTTTTTCCAGACAACTGAAAGTAAAGAGTGGGGGGAAAGAGGGTCTATATTATTCTGTACTAAGAATATAGTATTTATGTATTATAGACATATTTATCTATGTATTATAATAAGAGCTCTATAGTATCATTCTACAATGACTTTTTTTTAATTTGACATGCACTTGAAAAGATGAACAGAGACTTGATGGTGTATTTCAGCTACCACATACTTGTTTCAACATAATATATGCTTTAGCTGATTTTACTTGTACTTTAGCTTTTTATGGTAATTGCCTACTTATCCTGTTCTCATCAACTAATCGGGAGTAATTATTAGATCTCTAATTGACCAATAATAACTACTGCATCTTGTTTTGTTAATTAAATGGGGTTTTTAGGAGAATATTTAATTTGCTGTAGTAAACTTTTTTTGTTTGTAGTAACTTTTTATTTTCTTGGCAAGTAAGTCAATATATTTATTACATTATTATTTTTTATTTTTATTCTGCTTGTATGAGGCAGTGCATGCAAAGCTCCTAAGAAGATTATGCATAGCACCTTATATCTGCCATTAAAGGGCTCAGCTGAAGCTTATGTTATTGTTAAATGTCTTGTAAAAGGAATCTATGACAAAGCTTCACTTACAATATGGAAAGCATTCCAGCACAGGAAAAACTCAAGGAAAATAAGATGATTTCCCCCAGAGATAATTTGCTAGGGATCTTATTTTGAGCTAACTCCTAGTTTACAGAGTCTTGATTGAGATCCCAAAGAAGATGTTGCATTGCAAGGGTTACAGTTATCATCAGCAAGACCTGTCCTCAGACCCCCAAAATTAGTGATTTCAGTCATCTGGGAAGCTGGATTGAAGCACAGGAGGGAACGACGAGACCCCCCGTGGCCATTCTCCCACCACACAACCTCTGCCACAGAGCTGGTGCTGCCTCCGTGCAGAGAAGCAAGAGATGTACAGTAATCTCTGGGGAGAAGGTCTGAAGTTGCTCATAGAGGGGAGCCTTCGCACCTACCTCAAAGCAGTGTCTGGAAAGTCAGATGGCAGCCTCAGGTGTACAACCAGCAAATGACATGATTTCACATCCAGTTCCTGTTACCACTTGCCACATCCAAAACACTGATTTGGTGGTCCTTGGTCCTCAGACGTAGCAAATCTGTGTGTAGGGATGAGCAAATTATTTTTAACCTCATCTTAGTATAATTTAGTTTCATGAGATCCACCATAACTCTTAAATTAAAGACTTGTATAGAAAACAAGAAACTAGAATTCGCATAGTGCTGACTAAGTAAACTGAAGACTGCATAGTTTCTTTGTTCAAGTGTTAAAGGTCCACAGTTGCTTCTGTTATTTTAGAGTTCCTAAAAAAGCACACTCTCACGTCATTCCACAATGCAGTGCAATTTATGTAAGCTCATGAACCAATACAACGTATGCACGCTCAGTCTGTTGACAAAAACGAAGAGGTCAATAGGCATTTGGGATTCCACAAAGTATCATCTATGAGCTACAGAATCACAAAATAAAGTTCTTCATTTCCCCCCCCAATCGATTATTATTAATAATGTAAAATAGTAGGAAATATTTGCCTTAGTCTTACAATTTCTGAAGGGGAAAAAATATTCTTTAATACACGGAAGGGCTTTTTTTCTTTTTTTCAGTGAAGATTATCTTTCTGTGAAAAAGACAAGGGCATTTTTTCTTACAGAAATTTCTGCAAATAAGTATTACAATAGAAAATACGGTCAGAGAAATATACTTGGCACAAGGCTGAAAGGATTTAAATTGTGTGATAGGTGGCATAATAAATAAAATCTTCTTTTTTTTTTTCCAGAAAAGAATGAACTGTTCTGCCTGACCTCGGCCAAATTAGAATGCTTTTCACTCATAATAAACTACTGGTATTGTCTCTGAGAGCCCACACCTTACATAAGCAGTGACCTTCATTTCCCTTTAGGCAGCCTGGGAAGCACAGGGGGCCTTTTGAAAGTACAAATGTTTTTTTTCTGCTATTGTGACTAAATAATTTGTACCTTATTTAAAGGAGAACACCACAGCACCATTTCATCTCATGTGTGATGCTCCTGTAGTTCAAGTTCTGGAACTCTTCAGAGGTTATTGGTATGTCAGTTTAGCTGCATAAGGGCAGCTGTTTATTTTAAGTAATACATGATCCTTGGAACCTCTCCAAGCTGTAGTGGTTCTTCTGACCATGTGCTTACAGGGGACTGTTGTATTGTGTTTTATGAGTGTCCTTGGTCTTGAACATTTGCTACCAGATCTGAATATCCTGGCCTGTTCTTATCTGTAAAGGAGAAGAGCGTGAAGTCTGCTTCTGAAGGAAGACTTAAAAGGAAAATAAATCCAGGATCCTTCTAGCAGCTAGTATGGAATTAATTGGAATATTTAATAAACTCTGTGTTGCTAAATATCATATTCAGTTGTAAACAGCTGGTTTGAATATGCAGAAGCTTTAAAAAAAAACATATGGGAAATTTTCCATGATTGGGAGAGCTTCGAAGTGATTTTTTGGTCTAACACGCAATTATTTCATACTGATTTACATATAATAATAATTGTAACATACAATTATTTCATACTATTTCAAACTACAAATTATAAAAATGAAAGCTGGAGAATTAAATGTGAGCTAAAGGAGTAGCAAATCCTCATAAATAGAGCAAAGGTTCACAATGCAGTGGTTTATCAGAACTAAGTAGATTCATTTCTCCCTATTTGGACTTTTTAAACTTCTTCAAGGAAAACCAAAACTGTTGAGGATCTGCAGCTCAAACAGTCTTACTAGAACATCTAATGTGGCTGGTTCTGAAGTTTTCAATTGAGGGTGGAAAATGTCTCTAGCATCCCCAAGCTGATTTCAGGATATTGCAGAGTCCGCTTGTGAATTCAACACCAAATTAAAGGTGACTGTGCTGAATCTGTGTCACAGGCTTTATTCAGATTAATTGATTTTTTTAAAATAAATAGACTGGGTTAACTGGGTTTGTTAATTGATAGTGACTCAAGCATCTGTAGTTTTTACATACTGCTACTTTTTAAGTTTCATAAATGTGTAACTTATGAGCTAAATCTACAAAATTGTCCCCTACTGCTCAGCTGATTAATATCTTATTCAATGTAAGATTTCATGCTAATAAATGTATGTTTAAGCAGGCAACATAGCTGAATGAAAGTAATACTAATAGTCATAATATGAATAAATAATAATATAATAACAATGTAATCTGAATAAACACTGATTTCCCCATTTGTTCATTTCAGAGTGGCTGACTGGAACACAAAGCTGGAAAAAAACTGGTGTGTCAATAGCTAACTTCAAAAGAGTATTCATGAAAATTTGGATTAAAAATATCCAGAAGAGGTTGTTTTCATGCTCAGGATATCAGTACATTTGAAGCTATACAACATGCAGAGGAAGAATTGAAAAGCTGAAGGGAAAAATTGCTGCGATAGGCGAAAAGCAGCTATTTCTCATTTTATATTGAAATTCAAATCATTTGGGACCTGAGTCCTTCGGCAATTTTCTACATAGGAATTCATTTAATGATGTTATTATTTTCGCCTCAAATTGATGAAATGGAAGACATTATACTTTTAAATACTCCTTTCATATGTGGAAAAGATCAGAGAACACTGAACTCCTCCAGATCTGATTTTCTGCTGGAGCAGAATAGGATTTCTGGCCAGCTCACTGGTGTACAAAGCATAACCATCCATTCACAGAGTATGATAGTAATGTTAACAGTCCCTCTTTGCTATAGACAGGTACAATGGTTAAGTATCATAGAATATGCTGAGTAGGAAAGAACCCATCAGAATCACTGAGTCCAACTCCCGGCCCTGCACAGGACACCCCAAGAGTCACACCATGTGCCTGAGAGCATTGTCCAAACAGTTCTTGAACTCAGACAAGCTTGGTGCTGTGACCACTGCCCTGGGGAGACTGTTCCAGTGCCCAACTACCCTCTGAGGGAAGAACCTTTTTCTAACATATAACATTTTTTCAGTGAGCCTTAATGGCCAGTCTTCGCGAGCGAATATTTTTGGGAAAGGGCATTAACCCTTCCAGCCTGCCGCTAGGTGAGACACAGCGTGCGCTGACTGTAGTCCTGAGGTTCATCTGCCGGGGCCGAGCAAAGCTTGGACAGTGGCAGTGAGGTCCCCAGGATGTAGGTTTGTTTAGAGTGAACCTTCCTTAGGTGGATTGCCTACCAAGGCTGACGAGGGCCCAATCGAACCCAGGTTGAGAGTCAGGCACTCTAACCACTCTAACATATAACATAAACCTCCCTGAAATAACATCATGTTGTTCCTTTGGATCCTGTCCCTTATCATGAGAGTGAATGGATCAGTGCCTGCCTCTCCACTTCCCTTCACGAGGGAGTTGTAGACCACAATGAGTCTCCTTTCAATCTCCTCCAGGCGGAACAGACAAAGTGACCTCAGCCAGTCTTCATACAGCTCGTGGCCCTCCTTTGGATTCTTTCTCATATTTAAACATCTTTCTTATATTGTGGTGCCCAAAACTGCCTCAATATTGCAGGTGAAGCTGCCACAGTGCAGAGCAGAGCAGGACAATCCCCTCCATCAACTGGCTGGTGATGTTTTACCTGATGTCCCCTAGGACATGGTTGGCCCTCCTGGCTGCCAGGGCACTGCTGACTCATGTTCAACTTGCCATCGACCAGGACCCCCAGGGCACCTTCCACGGCACTGCTTTCCACCATCTCATTCCCCAGTCCATCTGTACATCCAGGGTTGCCCCATCCCAGGTGCAGAATCCGGCACTTCCCCTTGTTAAAATTCACACGGTGATTGCCCATCTCTCTAATTTGTTGAGGTCTCTCTTGTGGGGTTTCTCTGCCCTTAAGGGAGTCAACAGCTTCTCCCAATTCAGTGTCATCGTCAAACTCACTCAGTATTCCTTCGAGTCCTGCATCTAGGTCGTTAATGAAGATGTTGAAAAGAACTGAGCCAGGGATGGAGCCCTGTGGAACACCACTAGTGGCTGGACTCCATCCTGATGTTACCCCATTCCCTATAACTCTTTGTGCCCGACCTATGAGCCAGTTGCTCACCCACCGCATAACATGGTTATGCTGGACATTTTGTCTAGAAGGATACTGTGAGAGACAGCATCTAAAGCTTTACTGAAGTCCAAAAAGATTGCATCAGCTGGCTTTTCTGGATCAACTAGGTGGGTTACCCTGTCACAGAAGGAAATCAGGACTTCGCCCTCGTGAAACCATGTTGGCTGTGACCAATGACTGCGTTGTCCTCCAAGTGTTTTTCAATGCTTCCCAGAATAATCTTTTAAGCATAATGCTAAAGAGACATTTCAAAAGCATTCATTGCCAAAACAAGCTAAGTGTACCCTTCTAGACTAGTTTATACCACACTTACTTCAGAGTTTCCCTAAACCAAGTGCAATGAAAATCAAAATACTGTTCATTTCTGAACCATTTTCATACTGATATGAACAAAAAGCAAGCACTGTGGTATGGTCTGTGAACCAGTGTAGTTTTGTCTGGTCAGTTATAAGATGTCCTTGGAGGCGCATAGGAGTGCAGCTACTTTATTCTTTATATACTTAATTCCCACTCCTTTTGCCCCATTTTTCATGGTTGAATTTTCCCAATTGCTTGCCCAAAATCTGTCCCAACTCCTTCTTATCCTGGTCACCTCTCTGTGTATCTTGCCATGTTTCACTCTTTTACTAGAGTATCACATTTTACTGTGGTGTTCTGAGAGGGTGGAGTGGGTCTGCCCCCAGTGTGCCAACCGAGGTGACACAGCAGCTCTGTGTGTAATCGCTCACAATGCTCTCTGCTTTATTCTTTTTTCTAAAAATATTTGGGGGTTTTGAGCACAGAAGAAAATTAAGCTGAATTTCATAAAACACTCAAGAATAAGATTTTCAGTGTAACAGTAAATTCACTACCTAAAGTGTATGTTAAATTGCAATTATTTTTCTTCCTACGTTTATCCTGCTACATATATCAACACCAATCTCAGTCTGCTATTTTACCACTCAGTCCCTGTGAGCACCTTCTGCATCTTTTTTGTCGTTACCCTTGCCTTCATTATCCTGAATAACTTAGCAAACTGTGTCACTTCACTGCTCATTCTTTTTCAGATCACTGATGAATACGGCCCCACGGGACTCCATGGCGATTTTCTTCAAGTACGAAAACTGACCATTAACTCCAGCTCTCCATTCTATAAGCTGTTGCTGTGCGTGGCAAATGTGCAGAGTGGGAGGCTTCTTTATATACTTACACCTTTTAAAAAATTATTCTGTCTAACTTATAATTATGTCTAATACATAAATGATATTTTAATGATGTAAATATATTCCTGGAAAGAGACTCAGCAATTATTCTTTTAAAACGAATATTTTTTTTTCTTATTGGAAGTAATTTAGGTTTGCCCTCTGTCACACCTTGACATTTTTGCTCTGCTTCTATTTTTTGTGTATGTGAATCACTCGCTTTTCAATACCGACCTGTCAGAGACTTGTATATTTTGAAAAGAAGCCAAGTTTCAGTATCATTATACTTACACATTCACCCTGAGGCATAATTGTTCTAATACACAATTTTCATCCTGCAATTTAAAGGAGAGTTAGTGTGTCTTTTTGCCTTCCAGTAGCTGTCATAGGATTTCAGTATGCATTGGATAACACGAGCCCTTTCCTGTTCCCATGGAAATCAATAGTAACACTTCATACCCATTAAACTCTATCAGAGATAAAAAATGGGATCTAGGTAATTAGGACCCACTTTTGTTTGATCACTAGTTCATTTGAAATCAGGAGAACTGTTAGTCAGGAAAGCACAGGATGGGTTGCAATGACCTAAAATTTTCAGGCAAGACAAATAAAGGTGAAATGCTCAGAGTTCCACCCAGTGAGACCAACACTGTTCCCACCCCCTCCCCAGACAGACATGTCACACTATGCCATGGCAATGCCAAGCTGGAGGAATGAGGACTCACCAGGGCTCAGATGCACCCTTGGGAGCAGCAATGCCTGAGGCACAGCCAGGAACAGTGGAAGACACCAAGCAAGCAAACCCCGTATTTGCAGCTGTGCTGAATAAGACCTTCACTGAGTCCTGCAAGGGGAGACCTGGCCACAGATCCCATTTGGGTTTTCTAGTCTCATATTTAACCTGAGCACTGCTCAGCATCGTGACACCTAGTTCAAAGTGTGATGCTTCCATGTGTACCAAAGGACCAATCCAGGATACAGAGTAAAAGTAATGGAAATTCACCATCCATGTACCTTTTCTTCAGGTTTCTGCAGCAGGGTGCAGCAGGGTGCTTCAGAGGTTCTTCTTTCAGGCAAGACTGAAGGCAGTTTCAACCCAATTCTCTGGGTTCACATACAGGAGAAGACATAGACTACTGCAATTACAAGTTATTTAAAAAGGGAAGAAGAATTTGCCAGATTTATCAGTATCTGAAAGATACAGAAAATTCAGAATCCACCCAGTAGCAATACTGCACAGAAGGTGCAGAAGGGCAGAAGGTAACATAGAAAGGCAATGAGACTCAGTAAAATACAATTATTTACCTCTCAAAGGAATATAATAAAAGTATTGATCACATATAGTGTATTTAGGAACTTAAGATCCAAACCTCACAGAAAGTGCCTTAGGAAAACTGCAAGGTTTCTCAATAGTGTAAGTTTTTTGACTCCAGAGAAGGTAGTTTAAAGCTGTGGATAAACACATAGCTACACTGCCTTCTTGCTGTGAGTCAAAGATGCAGCTCTAAGTAGTGAATTGTAACTACACCCCACATAGCTACATGTGCTTAGAACACAGTCAGTTCTTACTGTCTTCAACATGTTTTTTAGTGCAGTATCATTTTCTAAAACTATGAATATCCAGTTATTTCTTTAGCAGCACATTTCTTTATTTTGTATATTTTTCTAGAATTCATCAAGAACATAATCCAAAACATGCTATGTAAAAATAAAACACATGCTTTACTGAAGTAAAAATCAAATAAATTTTGTTCACTCTATACCTAGTGTGGTTCATCTTTGGCTTAATGACTACCTACAAAGAACAGAAGCAAGCAGGAAGGCACTAACTTGCCACTCCATCTGACCCCAGACCTCAGTTTCAAACACCAGTCTCAATTTGTGCAGACCTCATTTATTCTTAACTCCAACTCCATATTCACTTTTAGTATTACTTGTGCTTACAGTGTTCTTAACAAAATGTAGGAAAAGTACAGTTTCCTTACAAATCTCTGAAGCAGAATAAAATAGCTTATGCTGAAAATTCCTAAAGATTGCTACATAAAATCAATTTTATTCTTGATAAAGTGCACTGTGACTTGCAGAATTTCAGATTTGTGGTTCTCCTTATGTTCCAGCTGTGCTTGGGATCCATAAAACTCTCAAATTTAGAAGCTAGCATTTCTGGAGAAGATGTTCTGAGAAACTTTATCATGAATGTTGCCAAAAGACAGACAAAAGTATAAAATAATGACCAGGATATCCTGAAATCAGCATTGTATGGACATTGTAGATCCAATACAAATCATACAAAACCTACAAAACTAATTAAAAATTCTGTTCAATATAAAAAGCAGCATGACAGAAATAAGTATGAACAACCACTTTATTTTTACACTGTGTTGATACTCTATGAACTAACATACACTTAGTAATTAAAATATTCCAAGAGCATGTTCCTACCTGACAATCTCATTTTTGCTTTCATCCATCTTGCTCTCCAATTTTTCATCCCTCTTAGTTTTCTTTATAGCAAGGCATTGATCCTGCAGTCTGCAACTTGTCTTTATTGAGCTTTAAAAAAAATAATTTGTATTTTACAAGTCTGATTTTGTACTGAACAGGCCTAAAATAGCAGTGCAAGTTATTAAAAAAGGCATAACTGTATAAACAAAATGTTCTGCCTGTTCTTTAGAACGTATTACACCTATCAAATGACTAGAGAAAAAGAAAAGAGCACATCCTTAGCACAAATCTTACCTTGCCTGGTTATCATAATATTTTTACAGTTGTAGGAAACAACCCCACTAACTAGTAAGAAGCAAAATAACTTAAATAGCAATTACTACCCCTGATACATTTCACAGATCTTTGCTATCCTCTCAGTTGTCAAGTACACAGACCTATTTTTGTTCTCTGAATTCAGTACTAGTTTTGATTTATTTTCAACAAAATAGCTAAGAAAATTGACCTATTTAGAAAGCTTGCAATACCATATAGAAAGGCATTTTCAAAAACCTTGCTTTTTTAAATAGAGGAGCTAAAACATCAGAAAGGCTGCCTGTATTTGACTATAAGGAAAAGCAAGTGAATTTTGATTGAGAAACTGAGATTGAATAAATTTTTAGAAATGTAACTTCAGATGAAATGTGCCCAGTAGGTCTGGTAACCAGAGTACATTTTCATTCTTCTGAACCAATTACTATTCCTCAAACAAAACCTTTTACAAGGATCAAACCTTAAGATACTCTTTTGAACTATAAGGTGTTTATAAGAGATAGGGCATGTTGCAGCAGGTTGAATGCAAACTTTACTATTAGATGCCTATGGAATAACCTTGGTGGATTTGAATAATGTTATGCAGAAATACAACAGAACGAGTTACAGGATGGAAGCATATTAAGCAAATCTGTGAGCAATATGCATCTATTCCCACTGCATTTGTAGTTATTCTGCTGAAGCTAACAAGGTAGAAGAGCAAGACAGTTTCTCATTCTCTGACTGTTGCCAACCTCTTTCCTATAATACCTATACTTCTGTAAAACAGGAGTAACAGTAAGTAAAGTAAAAACAATAATTTTGGTGGGACTGACTTCACCAAAATGCTATAACACCAAGTTGGAAGGCAATTCAAACATTTACATATGATTCCTGTTGTGTTCCAGAAGTAAAATAATTTCAGATCTTCAGAAAGTATGGTTCAAACTAAACCTATAGACTATCACACAAGAAGATTCCAATTGTCAAGAGCTTTATATTCAACAGATGAGACAGATGTCATCTACTTGACTTTTCATTAACATTTTAGACTAAGTGCAAAGAAGGAAATTCAGTTCCAGAGTGCTTCACAGGAAAGCTTTGTATTTTCTTTATCTTATTTTTATTTTAAGCTAAGGTAAAGCTTGTACTTTGAAAAGACATGCAAAGTTTAGTACAGCAAACATAAAAGAAGTGTCTTTCAGTTTTGTTTTCTTTCTAGGTAAGGGTAGGTAAGAAAACTCTTTAATTTTATATTCTAAAAAAGAATGATTTATGGATAAGAGAAACCAAATTACTTACCTATAACAGGAGATTTTTGAAGGTAGTTCCTTGTTTCCCTAAAGGTAACACTGAAAGATCTGTGATGATTCACCAGTTTGTATTACAAAGTTAGGAGGCAGAAACTCCATTGTTACTCCACTCTACTAAGGAAAAAAAAAAAGAGCCAATGAAGAAAATTAATCATAGGAAACATGGAAATGAAAAGAAAAATATTCACCTTTTTCTCACCTGTCAAAACCCCCCGAAATTTCAAATGAGAAAAAACATGTGAGCTGAGACTTCTGTCAGACACTGCTAAAATCAGGGAAGGAGAATTGTCATTGCTTTGGATTCTTGGTCTCCTTGGTTCCCAACGGAGCCAGTTAGGTGTTTGTATCTTTTAGCTTTAAATACAGGTATAAATCTGACCATTTGCATAACTGAGCTTGAAGGACTACTGATACTTTCCAGGGGCTTAGTTTACTGAGCAGTGCAGTACTGCAGTACATGCTTTCAACACAAACAACAGCTTTAGCTCACATAATTTAGCAGCCTCCTGTCCACCTCAGTGGAGCAAAATTTATTTACTGAGTACTAACCCTTAGATATTAATGACCACCTCTGTATAGCAGAAATATGCTGTGGGCAAATAGCAAATGCTGTAGGATGGAAATGTGTGCACATGAGCCCAGAGGTAAGGATCGTGAATCCATAATGCAAAAATGGAAATGGCTATTCAGAAGCACACAGCTGGGAAAGGTTAAAAGCAGAGGGGAGAGAGAAAATACACTGAAAGCAAAGTCTCACTATTTCTAATTTACTGAGCACTGAATTAGTATTTGAATATTAAAGAAAGGACTTTTAAACATTAACTAAGACAGTTTCAGTCAAATTTAAAACAAGGTTATTTTACAGAAAGTCTGATGATGTTCATACCGTGAAGGAGTGGACATGTATTGAAACTGAACTGAGGAAAAAAATCCATGTGATTTGGAGTCAAAAATTCTACAGGAAAACTTTAGGGATCACTCATCAGCTAAAATGACTCAGTGTGATCCTGTCTCATATACATGCTCTTTCTTCACTTACGTTCTTCTGTCTTTAATGCATCCAACACAATACATCTGCTTGAATGTTCCATGATTTTAATTGATTATCATAGATGGCTAAAAGGAAGGTGAAAGGACTGCACATCTTGAGAGAACATGATCTATACTTGTTTAGATCTGCAGAATTAACTTGTACGAAAGGAACTGTTGAAAACAGTCTAATAAAACCATAAGCTCAGTTCCTCGAAGTGATGGCTACATCAATAACATGTGCAACCTATTATTCTGATTGACATAAGCCTTGAGTAGTCTGTCAGCAGAAGGTTATGCTGTGAAACATAATTAAGGATAAAATTGATTACATATTTAGGTCTTGAAACTGGAAAGGTATTTCTGATTATTATTGAAATATTGAAGTGTTTTGCCTCTGTTTGCACCAAATCAGTACAAAAACCTCTTTTACAAATTTACTCCTAAATTTGCTTTTATTATAAGAATGTACTTTTCCACTTTAAGAAGTGGTTCTGAATAGATAACTGATATTCTTTGAAAATACCCATTTGAAATGTAATGAAATCAGATTAATACTTCCTAATACATTTCTGTGCTTATTTTTCTGTCTCTCTCTGAGAGTTACATGTAAACTAAAACTGTAGAATAAGAATAATTTCCATTTTAATTTAAGATAGTTTTCCTCCAAAGTTTATGGGACAACAAGAACAAGGCATGTATCTTACTTTCATATAAGTCTCTCCAAATGATTTGGATTATAATGGGTCCCGAATAAGAGAGAATCCCAACAGTGTTACATCTGACAAAGCCTTTATATAGAGCTACATAAGATGCCATTGTGCAAAGCCTATTTACTTTTCTTTTTGTAGAAAAGAAAGTCATTTTATTGGTCTCTATGCAGACATCAGGGTAAGATGATCAGAGATCTGGTTTTAGATGTATGTCTGAAGATACTTTAAATAGGTCAGTTAACCATTGTACAGATCAGTTTGCCTTTTTGTGAACGGAGAATAATACAGCAGATAAAAAACTAATAATGTAATATAATAATATTTATATTTTCAGCAGTGTTGCAAGGCTTCTTATATAATATGCCTCAGTTACTCTGACGTTGTGTGGCCACTGTTACAGAACTGTGATTAATCTATGGCTATAATGAAAAGACTACTGCAACTCATTCTTTTTTTATACATTTTTTTATAATAGTGTAACTTCAAAGCTTTCGGTGCAAACACATAGTACTCCTGTACCCTGACAGGAGAACAGAGCTCACCGTATATCATTCTTACCCTTCTCCGTATGACTTTGTTGGGAGAAGTGTTAAAATGAGAATGCAATCATTATTCAGCCTTATAATCAAGAACCAGTAGGACAATTGTCTAATTTAATATTTTTGAAATCTATTTTAAACTGCTTTTTTTTCCCTAAATGAAGAGAATGAGCTATTTCATTTCAACTGCATCAAAGTGGTTAATAGTACACGTTGTGCAAGACTTAGGGAGGGAAGCAGAGGCAACAAATGGTTCTTAGATTCTTGTTTACCTTCACCCCTTTATACTACTCTGATAGCCAAAGGTAGGGGTTGAAGAATACAAGGCATCATGCACAAATTCTGCCTGTCAGGCAGTCAGACTATGAATTTTAGGACTGTCAAGACTGCATATTTCAATCAGTTTTGACAGTTCTTGGCATTTCTCTTCAAATTCTGCTTTCTATAAAAAACTCCCTTACTTAGGTGTTATTTCTAGTTCACTTCTGAGCATATAGAAAGAATGTGTCTCACATCTTACTATGGCTGTTCTTCATCTTCACTTTGGAAACCTATATCAACAAGAGTCAAAACTTATTTTGCATTAAAACAATCTAGTACATTTGAATGACAGAACATATATTGCATTTGCAATTAAATGTGGCATTCTCACTCTGAGATCTTGGAGAAATTACCAGCATTCTCTTTTCTTATTCTAGATAGTCTGAGTTTCCTGGGGATTTAAGAGTCATCAGCTATAAGCACATCAGTAACTATAAGCATATCAGTACATAAGCTTGCCATTCTTAGAGGTCTAATGAAGTCTTTGGATATACAAAAAAAAGGAGAATTTAACATAGAACGTACACACAGTGCTGATAAGACTTGTAATAAACACCTACTATCTGTGTCTTGTTTTGAATAATACAAACAGTTCAAAATGTGTGTGGAAAATTAAAAGGAACCCAGAAAAGAAAAAAATATAAGTAAATCTAGACCTCATTCTCATTGTAATGAAAAAGTTAGAACAGCTCACCTTCACCTTGCAAAGAATCGACCACGGCTGGTGTAGCCGAGACGTGCCTCGAAGAGTTTCAAGACCTCAACTGATATATCCTCAATAGTTGTTTCAGTAATTAATTACATCTTATGTTATAAACATAACTTTTTTCATCTGAAGCTGGATTCAACGTTCTGTCCCTAGAATTTCTTGTGAGTTCACATGCTAACTGGAAAATGATCAAAAATCTTCTTTAGTAGGTACTAGAAGAGTGTGCTTCCTACTATTTCTTATTATCTGCTGAAAAACAGACATTTTGAACTTCAATTCATTCCTTCAGTTCTTTCTTGAATTCATTTTAAAAATACAATGAAACCTGACTTAACAATTGATAATGCATTCATGAGTGTTGCTTACAGTAGAATAGTACATATCTACTTTTATTCCGTATTTTCCTAGGGTTCCTTCAGGACTCCTATCTTACAATTTTAAACAAGGAGCCTGGTTTAAACTGATGTTGCTCCAAGTCTCCTCAGTAAATGTGGTTAATATTCTTGTTCCAAGAGAAATATTGATCCATATACATGTAACAACACATTGGAAATGCAGAAAATGTTATGACCTAGACTGTTCTCTAAAAAACACCTGTCTCATCAGTTTACCTCTGTGAAATTCTTTAAAATTTAGTATACTTTGTTTTAATGCTGTGGCCCAGAGTAATCCTGTCAGGCCAGTGCAACCAAATGCTATTTTAATTTAGAGCAGCATCAATTTGGCCCGTGACTTCAGTTAATAGATATATTGGTATTGCCTATGAGTGGGCCAAGAACTGTAGAAACTGTTAGAAATTCTCCTAGCAGATGATTTCCTATGTACAATTACTTTTCAGATCTATCACTCTATATTGCAGATATCTTTTATTTAGCATGGTCAGGAGGGAAAAAGAAATGAAGCTGATGTCCTTGCTGATCCACACCAATGGAGACTGTACAATTCCACACAAGCTAGGTTGTTATTCAGAGCTGGGAAAAAAAATTCAAATGCATAATCTTTAACATGAATCTAGAAGCTGTAGTCACCATGTTTATTTTCAACTATTATTCAACTATTGATCTCTCGTCTATTTATGGAGCTGGCACTATGAGACTCTGCAGAAATAGTTCTCAAGGTGCCAGATCATTGTCAACAGAATTAGCAGGAAAAGATCTTTTCCACATGCCAAAAGCTTTTGGCCTTTCTTTTCAGCCCCCCTGCAGCTGAAATTCTTTTAGCCACTTCCATTTGGAAACCTTTTCTTCCTTATCAATTTACCTCTGTAGATTATTCACTGTTGGCAATTAGCAAGCAGGAGAAAACCTGCTGAGAGGAGCAACTTAAAAGGGGACTTAAGAATGACTGTGCCTGGGAAACAAGCAGACAATCTGGAGCAGCAGACTTCCAAATTTCAAATACACACATTACAGAGATGAACAGCCAGAGCAACCTCTCTTCTTAATTCCTTTTATCTGGGTCTCCAATCTGCTCACAACAGTATTTAGTCCAAATCTTAGTCCACTTCAATGGGCTTTGAAAGGAAATTACTAAGATTCCAGCATTCATTCTACCCCCAAAAAAGAACAATTTAGATAATGACTCGCTACGTCTGGATTATAACCAAATGTCACTTTTCACATCCAAACCATTTCGGTCTGGCATCTTCCAGGAAGCCCTGATATCTACAGATAAAAACAGGGGGAGGGCTTTTCCTGCTGCCCAGCTTTCATCTGCAACATGAAGAAACTGAAGACATTTTCAGTGATTTCAGTAAATCAGAGTAGTCAGTCTTATGTACCATGTTTATAAGGAGGAAA